CTGCCACTACGTTACTCTGAGACGCAAGTTCACAAGTTCCAAGTACTTTTAATTACTGGTGCTGGTGAAATTACTTGTTAACTTATGTCTCAGGGCGATGGGCGCAGTGGAAGTGACGCTCATTTCTTTGCAATTTAAAGCTCTGAGTGGCACTGTAATGTTATGGAGAGTCGTGTCACCAGGCACCCGACGTGTTCGTTCCGCCACTTGGTGTCATAAAAAAAGTTCGCTACGAGTATCGGAAGGATATTCAATGGATACGCACATCTTAACTGGGTCGGCGTAATCCATCCTGCAGGTCTCATTAAAGGCTCCGTACACAAACCACTTGGGACAATAATTAACAGAACATAAACATCACGTAAAGGGCAAAGGGCAAAGTGTCCGAAGTTCCATGCGCAAAATATCTAGGATTCATTAACCTCACACCTTTCGTCGTAACCATTCTCACGAATAAGTTTCCGAAGATTCAGACACATAGTTCGGAATAAACACAAAAAGAAATAGACACCTATGCTTTATTCTTCAAAAAAGGAGGAGGTACTCAATTCGACTGTATCTTTTTTTTGTATGTATGTTACGCGACAACGCCGGTATTTGGATTTTCATGATTCTTTTTTTGATGGAAAGAGGGTACCTCCATAGTAGGTCCATTTGATTTTGAAGAAAATCATCCACCACTAAGGGTGGCTGTTCAATCATGAAGATTCCTTTTTATAAATAGCCCCTAAATTTTGTTATAAGGAGCAATTATTTTAATGGTTGATTTTGCTATTCTCCAATTCAAGGCGTTTTTCTCGCTCAATATACTTAGTAGTGAGTAGTGAGAACCGATAATTTATTATCTCCTGTGTCAAGTCCCGTATAGTGGCGAACTAGTGGATAAATCCGGGTTTGCTCACCTTCTGGTAACCGATTTCAATAAAACTTGGTAATTATATATAATTCCACGTACTTTTGAGGTCGGTTTTTTTAGTACTCTGTACTGAGATTATTAATTAGCACGTTGCTGAATCGAATATATATATATTAAAAACGGAAATTAAAAAACTACTTGATTATTTTACACTCCAAAAATAACTTCACATTTGTTCTTGCTGATGTTGCCAAACAACATGACCCTTATTGTAAATATACACTCTTACCTAACAATCAAAACCTTTTTCAAATTTTACAAATTAATATCTTCGACATCGAAGACTGTATCCAACATAAAATGTGTGAAAAAAAGACTCTTTTAGTGAAAAAAAGAGACGCGAGCTCAAAAATATTCGCTACAATTCGGTAAAAGACATGGTGCACAAATTTGGAATGTCCTTTTGCGAAAGTAAATATTTACTGGAAATCTTAGAGCCACTGGAAATAACAACAAGCTTCGGTACTTTATAAATAAATACGGGACATAACATTTTTACAATGAAAATACATTGTTAAGAAAAGATAGAGTAAGTAATAAAACTTGGTTCAGGTTATATGGTTGTAACCGATATAATAGCAGTAAACAGTCTCCATGTTACTTCAATTATTTACAATTACGTTATAACACATTAAAATATGATTAGAATGAATCTGTAAAAATTATAATTCTAATTACTTTCAGAAATGTAATTTATTGTTATAACATTATATTTTTTTATAAAAAAAAACCACTTCAAAAGTTTGCTTGATAGTTTTCGCTAGGCTCAATTAACAAAGATTTCAAATATGTAATTACGACTGGTGGTAACGGAATTTTACATTAAACATATCGATTGTGAGCTGGCAACCGGTACTACCTCAATTTTGATAACTTTACAGGATGAAGAAAGAACTTGTTTGCGGCATTTATTTACTTATTCATTCATCTGGTTTATTAAATAAAAACACGTAGTTTTTAAATATTTTTATTACACATGTTATAAAAAACAATGGAATTTCTTGCAACGCTGCGGAGTATGAAATAATATAAAATGGTATTAAAAAGTGAAATCTTTAGAAAATTGAAATAGTACCGGTTGCCAGTTCACAATCGATATTTTACTTTTATTCAATTCACTTTAGGTAAAAAACAATACATGCCCTAACAAAATTACTCAATGCTTTTAACGGCTATAAAAAAGGCATGTTGTTCAAAATTACTAAAAAACAAGTAAATTCACCAACGAAGAATCAAGATGAAGTCTGAAAATCAAAGCGCCTGTGATTTTATTAAATGAGTGGAAAGGAAACCTTTTAAGTTGTGACGACTTACACTTGTGGTTTTTTTAATGTAACATTGTCACAAAAAAAAATTAAAAAACTTACTCAAAAACGTCAATTACATCCATACATGTAAGCCAATACCTTCGACATAAATTTAAGGAAACCAAATTAGCGATGTGCGATTCTTACTAAAAAAATATCAAATAAAAGGATAATTGCACTATCACACATTCGATTTTCGATTTAGACGTCTTTACCGAAAGATATCGAATATAGTTACAATAACAATATAACAATAACGCGCGCGCACTCATAGCCTCGCACTAGGGAAACCCTGTTTCGCGGGTGACATGGACACACACATAGACAACCACAAATTACACAGGAGAGAAATATGTAGGCCATACTATAATTTCTCTCGACACGGGAATCGAACCCGGAATCTCCGAGTGGCAGTCCGGCATGGTAACCGGTTGGCCACAGAGGCAGTTACTAATTTAGTAATTGCTAATTAAATTTTCGGTAGGTATCCAAAAAAGTCCTATAGCATATGCACGATATTTAAAAAAAAATCGATCCTATTACAGTTACTATAATTAAAAAGTAGTAACTATTTCGATACGCAATCGATATTTGATCAACAATCAAAAATTGTCCTAACCAATTTGTGACTATTTCGATTTTGTTCATAATCGAATAATTGGACTCTTTTTAGTTATCGCCCAATCGCTACCCCAAACACAATAGTCGACCATAAATATAAATACTATGAGAAGTTACATTATGGTTACTATATTATTGTAATGTTTTCTGGTTTCTATAGTAGGTATATCAAATTTCAAGTCTATCGGACAAGTGGAAGTACAATAAATATTCGTTTTATAACTGAGATACCTACACTGACACGGAAAAGAGTTAATGATCTTTTAAACAGCTCAACAGATATCCAAATAAACATGAATTTTAAACAAATAAAAAAATCGCTTTGCGAACAGTCTATCCGGTGGAGAGCTACGACGACAAAGATAAACTTATATAGATATAAACAAGTTTTATAACCCCCTATTTTATAATATGAAGTGACGAGACGAGCAAGTCGTGAGCCCGGTGATAAGCTACACGCCTGTCCATAACAGTTGCAGTGCCACTCAGAGCTTTAAATCGCAAAGGTCTTATGGGCACTGCCACTGCGCCTGTCACCCTGAGGCTTAAATTGACAAGTCCTATGTGCATGTAATTTCACCAGCACCCTGACTTTTCTAAACCGGAACGCAATAATACTCAGATTACTGTTTGGCGGCAGAATTAGTTAAATATTGTAAGTACGTCGCGGGATGTGAAGAAGTATCCCATTTGGAGCCAGACGTGGCGATCATGTGTGTATGTATTAACGCTTTTAATAGCTCTATTCATAGTAAGTGAAAACTCACAATAACACGATTTCGTTTAACTAAGGTAAACGATTCTTTTATGGGGAACTATATACGTTTGTACATTAAGATTCCGGAGCGTATAATTAAGATGCTCATTTCGTAAGTTTAAAACTCAAAGGTATTTTAATTAAGAAGTGATATTACAAAATTGAAGACTACGTGTTAGATAAAGATGTATGGAAAAACGACATGGCTCTAGATTCCACACAATTTTGATTGAAAGTAATATAACATTTAAGTTTATTTGAAAAAGAGCAACCCTTAGAGTTGCTCGTTCTTCTCAGGAAAATCATCATAATAATGAGTAGCTTTCAAATGAAAAAAATACGTTTTCAAATGTAAATTTATTTTACCTATGGAATATTTATTCCATTTGATTTTTAAACTTTGACTCTATTACAGTAACAATAGATTTTTTTCATTCGAGAGTTTATTCGGTGACAATTCCTTATTAACAACACCTGTGGATGTTATTTTTCCAACGTTGTTAAACTTAATCTTCTACGAGAGATAAGGGATTTCGTCAAGCAAATAGCCACGTGTCTGTCCGTTGCTTTTAGAAATAAGCATTCTGTGTTTGACAATTAACTCAAAATCCGAGAAATAAACTCAGCTTGAATGACTTCTCATTTTTAAAGACAGTTAAACTTTCTTCTGCCTTAAAGAGGCTCTAAGTGGGCCTAATAAAGAAAGACCGGTGACCTCAGCTTTTACTCCGAACACCTTACTACAAAAGTTACACATTTGCCTACTTTCACTAACAATGACACGGGAATTATTTGCTGCAATTATAAATGTATTGTTTATTTTATACTGTTAATAAATATTAACTCTAATTACGTATGAAATTCGCTCCATATTCAAATTGGAAACTTGATTAACGATTACGCCGTGCGCAAATATTGTGGCTGTCATGCAAACTTTAGTCATCGCATGCCAATCTGACATTGAAAGTCAAAGCCTTTTACTCCATATTCTATTGCAGTCCATTGTTCAAAAGCAATCCACCGACCTTCTCTCATAATGGCCGCTAGTTAAAAATTTTAATAACGTACTAATAAAAATTAATTAGACTTAGAAGCGGTTGCAACGAAAATTACATGATCACGGAGCCCACGAGCCGTGAATGCACCGCGGTAACCACTCGATCCAATCTTAAGCGAATCAAACCTCGACTTTCACATTTTTTGCTACCCACGCGAACTGTCGAGCCAGCCCGGTTGCGCCGCACTGCACCCAAAGCCGACGCTATGCGAAACCATAAAAATGTCCATGCTCAATCACCGCGACACTCATTCATAAAACAAACAAAAACAGCAGCAAAAACAATTGAACGTCGCGCGGCAAACCTGCCAGGATCCGATAAGCATGAAAAAGTAAACACACCTTCTGGTTGAAGTATGTGGCTCCAGATTTGCTAATGTTATCCTCACAATGGTAACAAATTCACTTTTGGTATCACTTAAAAAGCACTTTGTGTCACACGCGTCGCGTGCTTGCGGCTGTGTGTAGCTTGCGTAGAGACGTACGTTGCGCTCGCTAGCCTGTCGGAGACTGGCTGCCGGCGGCTGGCTCGTGTCTTGCCACTCGAATCAAGGCCATGCAAAACGCTGCTCCCATTTCCCTCCAGTGGAAAGTGTCCGTATCCGTGATCCGTGCCCCTTTCGGTCAGGTGTGGGAGAAAGCACCCAAAACTGCTCATTGTGATGGTGACTCATTCGCCGAGATGATTGCTTTTTATCGCTTGACAGGCTGGTCGAAAGTGAATTAACTGGTTTTCGGTGGCGCCAAACATGTGATGGAAAAGTTCAATCTGTGCAGTGGGTCAAGATTAAAAAAGTTGAATAAACTTTGACATGTGGACGAGTGAGAATATCTACAAAGTACGCATTGTTAATTGCGACAAATAGTAACGTCACCTATGCATAGTAAATTTAATTTATATCACAAATGACACAAACTATGCAACGTTGATGAGTCATATTTACAATTAATTTAGGGCTTTTTAGTGATTGATCGTCAGTGAAAATTCGTAAAAGAACATTAGCTTTATGATCCAGTGATAATTTTTATTTTTAAGGTTATTGAATGTCACGAAGTTTTACTACCTTGATATTCAATTGTTTTTTTGTGAAATTACTCCACTAGTTATTTATTAATACAAAGATCAAACACTAAGGAATTTTAATTTTGTTACAAGGTTTTTGCTATAAAATTTTACAACGCGTTTGTGTTGTGATTGAAGCAACGTTTATATACGATTATTTGTAAAATAATACCAACAAGACTATATCGCAGGACTATATTACTAACATCATAAACAACAACTTTTGTTGACTGACTTTTAATAATTCGTCAATATATTATACTTTCGTACAAAAATAAAAGTATTTTAAATAGACCGCCTTAAGTGGTAATAACCCTGCACTCTGCACGGTGGCAAAAGAAAGCAGGCGTGACGTGTTAAACAACTTAGTACCAAAGATCTAAAAAGTGTCAGATAGTGCAACAATAACTTACAGAATGTAATTTTGGTAAGTTTATTATATGTATATGTCAAAAATTATGGAACAAAAGTTGTTGTTGTTGTGTTTATGATATCAGTAATATGGGCCCTGCAAGATTGTTAGTATTTTACAAATGTAGCCGTGCATAATTGCATTTTTATTCTTTAAGAGCATAAATACAAAAATGGAAAATTGTTATCATGGAAGAAAAAGTTTTCCCCGGTTTTACAGATTAAAATTCTCAACGACGGAACTGACATTTCGTATACCAATCTCAAAATTGCAGAATAGTTTTGATCAACGAATATGATTATGATTTAAACTTAGAACATTTAATATTGAAAATTCAAGGTGGCTTATGTGCCCGGGAGTATATGTATGTATATATATATATATATATATGTATATTACTATATACTAACTATACTATAGAAACAACGCACTTATAATGAAAAAGAATCTGAAACATAATAAACAGCGAAACTGGTAGAGTCAAGCCCGGTATTTTCCATTAAGTATCCCTAATCAAATTATAAAAACAGACGGAGAAGTTTATAAAGCAATCTTCGAAAAGTTTTTACTGGCTTTCCAATTTCGACTACAAAGTCGTTAAATTTGTTTCTCACAGTCGCTGAATTTTTTCATAAAGAGAATTTAGTCATGCTCGTTTAAAATTTGGCCATGGACACCCAAGCGAATACGTCCTAAATATATCTAAATCGAGAGAAATTATATATATCTATAGTTAGGTGATAAGAGGAGCATAGTTTACTTTTAGTTAAATATTTTGAACTCTAGAATGAAGAGATAAAATGTTATAAGAACAACCGTGACCATGGGACCTGTAAAGGGCCCGAAACGTCTGTTTGTTTGAAAAAACAAATATACGCGATTTAAATCCGGAAAAATAGTTTCATTTCCTATGTGTAACAATGGCGAAAACCTAAGAATTCGAAATGATATAAGAAATTTGAAATACACTAAATTTAGGAAATACTATTTTTCCGGATTAAATTGCGTGTATTTATCGAGTTCCTAGGTTTTGAAAAAATAGAGTGGTTCGTATTAATATTAGACATAACTGGTTGATGATTGTACCACCTCAGTCAACCGAGATCGTGGGATCTGTAAAGGGTCCGAAATGTTGGTTTCTTTGAGAAAAACAAATATACGCGATTTAAATCCGGAAAAATAGTTTCATTTACTTTGCGTATATTTATTTTTATATCAAGTGATGGGCCAGACAAGTAGTGCACCGGATGGTAAACTACACGCCTGTCCATAACAGTTTGATTTTTGAAACAAACCAATGTTTCCGGCCCTTTACAGGCCCCATGGTCAAAAATATATAGCTGATATCAAACACCGTCGCGTAAACAAGTCTGCAGTTTGCGAGCATGTCATGGATAAACCTGCACATTCAATCAAGTTTGACAAACCCCAGGTCTTTGCAAAAGAAGTCCGTTATCTACCCAGGATGCTGCGAGAGGCCATTGAAATTAAAAAACATCCTAATTTCAACAGGGAAGATGGTGTCTCCAATGGATTCAATATTTCTTTTGACCAAAAATCCCAAACTGTCTGTCTAGACTGCAATCTAATTAATATGTTATAATTTATTCTAATTTCCATTGTTAATTAATAATAAATACAATTCAATAAATAATTTGTATTGTTAAAATAAAATAATTGTAAAACACATGTACCGTAACTACTCCGCGAACCTCTAGAACTAGACCTCTAGACCTTTAAAACAGATGGAATTAATTAGGTATGTACAACAGCAGGGGTCGTATAATAAATAAACAATTGAATTTACAATCATCACCTTCATTACAGGTATTTTCGGGTTTCAACAATAGTAACCGTTTTGAACGAGCTCATTCTTCGGCTGAGAGTCGAGCAGCGAAACAAGTTTAGGTTCGCGGAGTAGTAAATTAATTGGCTTCCATTTTTATTAACATGGACTGCCGCAAAATAACGCCTGAACCTATTAATTATACATAAAACTTGCCTTTGTTTATTAGCTTTACATGTTTTAACAATCATTCCGCTAAATTCAATACTTACGATGTATTTCTTGAAAATATGCTAATTGCGTGAACGTTTCTCTTCCTCCAAAAGATGGGATAAGAAAAACAGTTGTCGTAGTAGTAATAGTAGTCATAGCCACGTATACCTCGTGTTCTCAAGATTTCACAACTTTGTCAAATTTATTTTCCTACCTTTTGGATTTGGAGCATCGTAGCGACACCTCATTAAAATCGTTTAAACTAATTTGTTTGTCTGTTTTATCGACTGAGAGATCATAGTGCTAAACATTTTAGATTATGAGTTAAGGGAGAATAGCATGCCTTTTAGGGGATAGCACTGATGCCTTGAAGTTCTTCACTTTGCAGAAGAAATGTATAAGAATACTAGTTAATATCGACCCAAGCGAAGGACACCTACACCCGCCCATTGAACCTCAGACATAAAAATAGATTAGCACTAGCTAGGCCGAAATTACAAATGTACCATCTTGGACCTTATGTAATAATGGCTGTTAAAATTTACAACAGAATTCCTAAGGACATATCTACTCAGTAATTAGAAAATAGAAGTAAAGGCTAATTTGGTCGAAAAATGTTACTACAGCCTGAAACAGTTTTTTGAAGAATGATTGATTACCAACATACTCCTTTTTGTACCATTCTGCATCAAATGTTATTATTATCTGTCTGCGTTATTATTATCATTATTATTACTTTAATTTCATAGCTTTTGTTTAAAATTACTTTATTATTATGTGCTTTTATTTTTTTTATTATAATTAAAGTAAGTATATCTTTTAATTGCGGCGCCCTAACAGCGACCCTGTTATTACTACTATTGTTGTTGTTGATACTATTTTAATTTTAAGAGCATTATGTAACACATGAAAGCAATAAAAACTTTGACTTTGACTTAGGGCTTCAAGTTCCTCTTCCCGTAGTGTTCCTCTTACCCCACCTGGCCCTAATTCTGATCTTTGTGTTAAAGTTTATGCGTCAAAGTAATTAATTCTATAGTTGATTGTGTTATAGCTCCTCACCTGGCTATTGATGTTTCCTGACCTTATGAACAAAGCAATGTTAATTCAGACCTATTTCAATAGTGCCAACTTCGAATTCCGCCGGATGAATAGTAGTGTTAAATCAATTTAACGATTTCAAATGGAATTTGCTTTCCTATAAAGATATTCAGAATCTATTCAATTAGTTGTAAATTGTTAAGCTAATAAGTAACCCAATAAGTATTTTAACAATACGAATATGAACGAAGTAGCACAAAAAAATATTTCCAATGAAAATGTGTGAGCCTGTCATGAAATATGTAAGAAGAATTTATTCTTTCAATTTATTTTAATCAAAGTAATGTGTTGGCCTTTTGGCCATTGGAGATTTTTCTCCGTGCGGATTTTGCCACTAGCTAATTTTAAACATGAAAACTTTTTACTTTTAAAGTTATATTGTCTATGGTCATTTTAAAAATAATATTTTATGAATAGGCGGGAAAATTTTAAGTTTTTAATTAGTGAATAACACATAGAACTGGAGTTGTCATAAATCATTATGATAATGCCTAAGCATCTTTTTTTTTCATCCTCTAAAGGATGAAAAAAAATAAAGGAATAGTGTAAGTGATAATGCCAAACCACAAACGTCTTTACAATGCCGTCAAAAACGGAAAGACTAAAAAAACTGTTGCAGTTAGCTAGGAATGTGTCCACCGTATTCGCCTGATACAGCCTCTTCAGATAGTCACTTGTTTCAGTCTTTGTAAAATTCTTTAAATCAACATGTCTTTGATAACGAAGAGACCAGCAAATGATACTTAGAGCCTATTTTATAAGTAAAGAAGGAATTTCTCAAATAAATATAAATAATCAGTGTTCAGAAAACAAAGATCAAAGTTAACATTGCGTTACACAAACCATTCCGAGTAGTTTTCAATTATATAAAAGATTTCTATGGGCCACACATACCAAATTTGAAAAAAAAAATGACTTCAATTATCTTTTGAC